ACAGACATCAGACAAAGAAAAACAGGAGAGAGTTGAGGGATGAGAAATTAGAGATGAGTGACAACAGAGCAAAGAGACTTTAAGATGGGCAGAGGTCACAGGAATGAGGAAGAGTAGTAGGGATGGGAGACTGGGGGTGGGGGGCATCCACACGGGGTGGGGTGTGGCAGGAGGGAAAGTTTTGGAGTATTGAGAGAGGACAGAAGAAGGCCAGGGCAGGGCTTACCAAAGTGAAGGGGGTGTTGAGCAGTGTGATCATGATGTCGGCCACCGCCAGGTTGACGATGAAGAGGCTGGTGGCCGAGTGCATTCGCTGGTTCTTGAAGATGACATGACAGACCAGGACGTTGCCGAAGAGCGAGAAGATGATGATGAAGGAGTAAGCTACGACGAGCAGAGCTTTCACGGTGGGCTTCTGGGACTCCGCCCCGTAGCGCCTCCGGCCCACGAAGTTCTGCCAGTCGGAGAAGGTGTAGTTGTTCCAGGAGAAGAAGCGCGAGGCGTTGGGGGTCGCCAGGGCAGCCTCCAGGCTCTGCTCGTGGGCCTGGCTCTCGGGGCGCTCGGCGGCTCGCACCGAGTGGAGGAGGAAGAGCAGCAAGCAGGAAGGGAACATCGCGCCACAGCCCGGAGCCCGGATCCCCGCAGCGTGCTGTCCAGATGTCCCCACCGGTCTCGGTGCGCGCTCGGTCGGGCGCGGGGAGCAGGGCGCGCCGGCTGTCGCGCCGTAGGGTCCGGGACCGAGGAGTCCTGCGTCCGTCCTCGCGCTATGGGTTTCTTTCCGCACTTTTATATCTCTGCTCCCACCCGGTACTAGCGGGGGGCCTCTGCCTATTGGGCAGCGCAGCGTCTCTTGCGGCGACAGTGACGCGCTGGGGCTGACAAGCCTGGCTCCGCGCACCGTGCCAGGCGCGCGGCTGCTGTTCCCACGCCCAGCCCCGTGTACTTCTCTAGCACACGGTCTCTGGGTTTCTGCTGAGCCTCTGGTTAAAGGAAGTGGGCAGAAGCACCTAGGGAGGTGAGTCGGAATCAAGTGGGGCCAACTGCAAGCCTCGGTCCGGCTGAGTCTCCTCCTTCAGTAGCAAGGATCAATTCTGTTTGTTTCCACCTCAGCAGCAAGCTTGGCATAGTTTCAGTACTGAGGTGGGCAAAGTCATCCTGGTGGATCCGGGAACAAGGCAAGCAATGAAATAGAGACAGAGACGTCCAAGTTACTACTCTTTGAAAGTCCCCAGCAACGCAACTGGGGAAATTTGTTTTGCAAGGAAACTCTTTAGAATAGTTCCCTTGATGGACTGAAGAATCAGAGGATATGAGGAAGTTCACTCTGGGCCCCCTTAGGGGAACAGTTGAGCTTTCTGCCAAGAGGAGTTAGAAGTTGTACCTGTAAGGGGTATTACTATTAGCCTTGCTGTTTTTCAGTCTCCCACCTACCTCCCCCAGAAATCTTACTCACCTGTTTTCACTGTTACTGTGACGTCTCTCTCAGTCACCCTTCCCTGCCATGCACCTGCCTGACCTTGTCGTTAAGACTTTGTGTTCTGGAATCAGGATCTAAACCCAGCTTTGTCTCTGTGAGATCTTGGGCAAGTTCTGGCAGTGCGTAATTGCTTTTCTTTTCCTGTATATGAGGTTTTTAGAGACCCCTGTATAAATCTCCCACCATGGCAATGTCTGGAGTAAGAGATGCGATAATTTGTTGACTACTGGTAGCTACACCCTTAACTCTTCTTTCTAAGGTAGCTGGTGTGGGCTCTTTTTACTGTCTCATCTCTCCCTGCTGAGCAGTGCCTTTGGGCTAACACCCCAGTACAGGACTCGAGCCCAGATTCTTTCCACACTGTCCACTTGGTCCCAGGGAAAAGCCTGCCCCTTTGTCCCACTCAAACCCTGGAGGACAGACCCCTCCCATCAAAGTCCTCTTTTCTCTGTCAGCCTCAAGTGGAAACTCCAGACACGTCTCAGTTTGGGATATTTCTAGGGGCATTAGGCATCAGTTTCCATATCCCCTTGAACTACAAATACATAGGCCGAACTTGTGGATAAACAATTAGAAAGTGGGCTGATAAGTGCCACCATAGTAAAATATAAGGTGCATTATCCAGTTTGGAGGGTCAGGGAAGTCTTACCAGAGTATGTGACGCCTCAACTCAGTCCTGACAGACCATCAGGAGACAGTTTATGGAGGAGGACAAGAAGGAGGAGGAGGAGGAAGAAGAAGGGGGTAGAATATGGAGAATTCCATTGAAAAGGACTCATAGTCTATTCACAGGCATGCAGGTGAGCAGCGTGTCATGCAAGATGAGTGGAGAGAGAGCTGGAGAGGGATATAAGGGCCTTAACATGAGGGCCTCATAGGTCATGCCAACAATTTGAACAATTTCCTGGGGGCAGCAGGAATGCATGGAAAGGTGTAAAGAAGACACTGACATGATTAGGTTTGCATTTTAGAAAGAACACTCCAGCATGTGAATGGAGGATGGAGAGAATGTGGTTTGCAACAGGACTGAAGGCTGTTCAAGTGATCCAAGAGAAGAAGTGAGACCTGAGTCAAGGTGCTGGCAGGGGGAAGAGCAAGGCTGTCAGAGATTGGAGGGTGGAATCAAAGATGATTATGAAATTTTTAGTTTGGTTGACGTCAAACACAAAAGCATGAAACATCTTTGGATCTCAATTCCTCCTAGAGCATTTAGCTTTTCTCCATTATTTTATCTGAAAGTTCCAGAAAATCCACTCTTACCTCTACTTGTTGATATTATATTCACTCTTCAAGCCACTGTGTTTGGAGATGATAAGTAGATGATCCTCAGCTCTGCTAAAGGACTAGACAGATCCTACAGGATTTTGTGATTGGAATAGCAGATTATGTGGCTGAGCCCAGAAGAAGGCAAATGGAATAAAAGGTATTTGGCTACAGGAAGTAAATCAAGTGACTGGCTGTAAATGTGTAACTCAATTGCTTGAGTAGACTTGTTCCATCAAGATGATTTGGAATCATCTTATAAAGGCAGGGCTGGAACAGGATGACAATTTAGAAAGCAGAATCCTAGTCAATAGAATTTTTCCCAATCTCAAGAAAAAGCTTACAAGTAGAAGAGTCCCAGTGAGCATCAAGTGCAGAGAAAGACCAAAGGTTGGCAGCACATTTCCAAACAGTCTCTTCCAGTACCCTGCTCAGTACTCTGCATAGACATATTATTAATCTGGATCACCTAACTAGTGACTTCACTTTGATTTCTTACTCATCCTGCCTATCCTGGAGATGGGAGAACATTTATGCCCAGTGCCTGAAACTTTCTCTCTGAAAGAGAAGGTGAAGTATTTTAGTTTTCAGCTTTTCCTTGAAGCAATATCCCAAGACAGATTCTAGTGCATCGGTTTACTTAGGAAGTGAAGGAAAACACCAACAAGGGAATGAAGAAGTGAGATAATGAAGGGAAAGTGTCCAATGAAAAGTATGTTGTCAAGCCAGCTGCCACCATGGGTGACTGCAGCTTCATTCCACTTGTAACACCAAGTGGAATAAACATCAAGCATGGACATCTGTTCTCCAAGGCAATGAGTGAGGAAGCTGGGACATCTACATATGGATTCCTATTAGGCATTAGCTGAAGGCTTTTCCCAGAACACATTAATTCTCTTGAGCTTCTGGCCTTCCAGCAGGCACTCAAAATAAACACAAGAGGCAGAAGGTGACCCACAGGCAAGTAAATTCTGGTGCTGGCAGCTGAATATTGAACTACTGTGCTCTAAAGAGGTAGGGGTACTGAGAATATCCAAGGAAGACATGAAGTCTAGAATCATTTCCTTTCCTCTTCCCTAGGGATTCATCTCTGCACTCATGCTAGGCCTCCTGCGCCCTCCTGAATCCCCAGCCCAGCACAGATGCCTCAGCTTATCCTGAATGTCTGGGGCAATCCATTCTTCAGTGAAGCAAGAATAGCTATTTACCTTATGCCACGCTAAGGCTAGGTTATTAAAAATTCTTTCTAATATATCTTTAATATATCTTTCTGTATGTTATCATCACTAGAGAATTATGGGAAGACACAACTGCTGCTACAAAATGAACTTTTATGCATTCTGGATAAAACCAAGAACACTGTATAGTGTGTGGTGAATAGTAATTAATTTCTACATTTCCATTAATAGACATATTAAACATACCAAAGTGCAGAGAGTAGTGTTGATTCTCTTGAATCTTTTTTTTTTTTTTGAGATAAGGTCTCACTATGGAGCCCACACTGGCCTCAAACTTGTGGCAATCCTCCTACCTCAGCCTCCTGAGTGCTGGGATTATAGGAATCCACCACCATACCTGGCTTCTTAGATGGTTTTGAAGGAAAAAAGAAAAAAAGGACAAATAATGAATCATTCCATAAGTATTTTATGAAACTTAATTTCTCCCCTTCCTTCACTGTATCTATAATTCTTTACTGTTCACTTTTCTTTCTTTGTTTTTGTACAGGGGATTGAACTCAGGACCTTGCACTTGCCAGGCAGATGCGGCACCGCTGAGCTACATCCCAGGCTACTCCATAAGTATTTTAATAAAAATGAAACAAAAAATTATAGAATACACCAAGGCCTTAGAAAGAGGTGTTTCTGCTTGTCGCATTTGGCCAACATTCCTAACACCACAAACAATGCCCCTTTATATCAATATTGTTTTCTATAAAGGTCCTACTTGAATTTAAAACTCACCATACTCCCAATTCCCTTCTACCACCAATCTCAGTGGCATAAGGGAAGAGAGTGTCATCAGCACAGGGCAACTGAACATCGGACTGGTGTGCCTGTGAGTGAATCAACATTTGTTTGTTTTAATTGCACAAGTTGTGTATCAACATACTTGAATTACAAAGAAAACAAATATGGCTGAAGATACACTTAACTCCAATAAAAATGCAAAGTGTGTGAACAGGCTAATCAGGAATTGCTTCCCAAGTTTTGGCACACTGGACCCACAGAATAAAAGTAACTAAAAGATATACTTAAGCCCCAACTTACAGTTTGTGAACCCAAATTAAAGTTCCTTGAACTTACTCTACACTTTTACATAGAAAGTTTTATAAATGGTGGCTTAAGCCTTGGACCAACCCATCCCAACCTACTTACCCCATAATGTAGCATTAGCTGTACCATAGGATGGCTAGATATTTTCTATGGTTCCATCTTACATGACTTGCTTCTCTTGAATCAAATGTCCCCCTGGGTGATCCCACCACCTCCAACAGTTTAACCTTCCATCACTCATCAGTAACTCCAAGATCTGTAGCTCTACTCGATACCTCTGTTGAAAGCTCCAGACCTGCGTTACATATTCACTGTTGACTGGATATTCTCATCTGGAATAACTGCACACACTTAAATTTCAGCAAGCTTCAGACTAAACTCAGTATAGCCCATTCTACCCTCACTTCCTCATACTTAATGCTTGGATCGGGGATTTAGCTCAGTGTCGCCTCGCTTGCCTCACAAGCACAAGGTCCTGAGTTTGATCCCTGGTACCGGAAAAAAGAAATCCTCATACTTAATTCTCTTCCTGTTCACTTGGGATGAGAATCTTGGAGTCATCTTACACCTCACCAATTTCATGATACTACTTACTTGAAGATGCTGTTTCTCTACCCTCAACTATCATTTCTGCTATCATAAGGACAGAAAAACTTCTTTTTTTTTTGTTCTTTTATTGGTACATTTTAGGTATACAATTCGTTTACATTTATCATTGGGTGTTTGTACCTGTACATGATATATCTTGGTTCTTATTTTTTTCCTCATTACCTGTGCGCCTTTCACTCCCTCTGCCCTTCCCTATTTACATAGATTTCA